CTTCCGCCCCATGGGCCCCGCGGGCCCCGCGGCACAGTACCAGGTGAGGAGGGCAGATAGGCGGGTGCCGCCGCGAGCACGCCTGGGGTAGGGGGCGAAGGGGGCCTCGAGTGAGCGCCCTGGGGCTGCCTCCTGGAAAGAAGGCACGGGGGCTCTGCATGCGGAGTTCACGGGGTACCGCGGAGGGCAAGGCCAGGGACCCTTGGGCTCTGCTAGGTGGTGGTGGAAGAGTTAAGGGAGAAGGTAAGAGTGACTCTGGGGTAGAGAGTTTGAGGCAGTTGGGAGGGTCTGGGGTCTTGATTGGAACAGGAATTCTGAGTGAGAGATGGAGTTGTTGGAGCTAGTGAGTTGTGAACAGTGGGTTGAGAAGTCTAGTGTAGCTTTTCAGGTAAGGGGTCCTGGGAGGTGATGAGAAAGTTTTGCAAAAGGGCCCTCACTGAGACACCAGGGTTACCCTGCATTGGTCTTGGTCCTTCTCCAAGTTTGCTCTGTGTTTTTTCTAGTTGGGAACTGGCAGAGTTTTAGCGTGTCTGAGATGGCTCCCAGCTGCTGAGGAGGAGAAGAAGGGCCTGGCTTCCCACGGCGCAGGAGGCAGAAGATAGGGCCAGGGAATTCCAGCCTGTGCAAGGGGGAGTCTACTCCTGCGTCAGGCCCAGGGGCCTTCACGCAGGGATAACTCTGGGTTAGACCAGAGAGGGTGGTGGACAGGCCTGAGGAAGGAGAAAGGCCCAGCCCATTGTGGACAGACTCTGTTTTTGGCGTTCTGCCTGGTGTCATAGTGTCCAGGAGTTGATTAGTCTGGAGGAGCAGAGAGGCTCCACCGAGCTCTGCTGGTCTGGGGCTGGACCAGCCTGTAGAGAGCTGCTTCAAAGGGTTCTGTCCTGACCCCTATGGGGTTTGGCTTTGCAGAGGGCTTCTCAGGTTGCAGCTTCAAAGGCCACTGAGAGTCCGAGACTCTGTCCTTGGGGTCAGTGTGTGAGGAACTCCGTCTAACCCTGCTGGAGGGGCTTATCAGTCCTCCAGTGCATTGTTTCTGGTTGCCCCTGAATGCTTGGCAGTTGTGTCCATCCTTTTTCCACCTCGTCTCCACTTTTAATTAGCTTTTAGGTTTTAACAATGCCATGTCTCAGTCTATGTGTCTTAGCTCTTGACACTGGCTTCTTTCTAGTCTTAGGGAAGCTGGGACTCTCCTCTACCTCAAAGCTCCAGGTAGAGGCCCCAGAAATGGATTCTTATAGAGTAGTGTACACCTATCTCCCCTGACCCCTCCGCTCTCACGTTGTAAAGAGATGCTTAACAGTAATTTTTCCCTCTTACTCCCCTTTCTCCCTCCTACCTCTAAAGTAACAAAAGGTCTGGATATTGACAGAGATGGACCTGGTCCCAACGACTCCAACTGGGATCCATCATTCCCATCTTGCTCTCTCTCATGGGGATTCATGGGCCTAAGATGTCTCTGAGGGACCCCTGCATCTGTCATTCCCACCCTTGGGCCAGTTCACTGGGTCTTTGGCCTGGGACAGATCTAAGGAACAAATAGGAACCTCTGCAGTTTCCTCAGCTTGCAACCTGTGGGAAATGTGGCCTGGAGAGAGCCTCTGAGAGGTTGGTTCCACAGCGATTTTCAGGGAGTGTCCTTGGGCCATGGCAAGGCTGAGCTGGCTGGCTGGGTAGCCCCAGGCTACTAGGAGCAGGGACGCAAGGAAGGCACTGCGTATCTGCTCCCAGGGGCTTCTCATCTCCCTCTGCACCCTCCTCCTCTGGGCCCCTAGCTTCTCATGGCTGTAGAGGTCGATGGGTGGGGGGGGGGAGGCCCCAGTTCACTTTGGCTGAGTTCAAGAAGGATCCTGCTTGGCTTGGCCTCTTTCCAAGTTCAGTTATATGATTTCCAGGAGAAGGGATTTGAGATTTGAGGAGTGAGGGGGCGCCTCTCTGTTGGGATGCATGAGGTGAACTGGGAGAGCAAGGCTCTCAGGGCCCAAGTTGGGCAAATAGGGGAGCCTATTAATAGGAGGGAAGCAGGGACCCCATCTCCTTCCAGACAGTAGTTCTTGCTGTGGATTACAGTCTACTAAGGAGCTTAAAGAAACAAAAATGAAAAAACAACCCCCCAAAAAACAGATTGCTGGGTTCACTCCAGAAAGTTGAAAATATTTTCTGCATACGCAGGGCTTTCTGTCCTCCTAAGTCCTTAGGTCCAGCCACCAGGAGCACCAGGGCCACAGGCTCTGGGCCAGGGCAGAGTGTGCTCTCTGGAGGCGGCAGCCTCCCACCCCTGCTGTCCCTGGTGGTGGAGAGAGAATCCAGCTGGGGATGTGGGCTGCTGCTGGGTTGAGGGAGAGGAGGTTGCTGCTCCCTTCTGAGGCTCAGGGCAGAGAGCTAGGCCTGCCCAGCCCTGCTGCAGGTCGGGGGTTAGGGAGCCCAAGAGTTTGGGGATATTTTTGTTTTT